AATACGTGGAAAATACTGGAGTGAGACCAACAGGCACCACTTTTGGCCATCGTGCTTGAGAGGTGCCTCCAGGAATGTGTACTGACTCATCCCCTCCCACCAAATGACCAACAGCTACTAAGGTTAGCGACTTCTGGATGACCTTGAACATATTGCTTAAAAATACTTGGTTTGAAGAGTTCTTGATTTGCAGAGTCCAAGCAATGGGAGAACTTGGCACGTGGGCTGAGCTGCTTCAACCGTTCATGACTCCTGGGTTGGGTTGAATTTCTGTGCCTTTGCCTGGCAGATGGGAGAACTGTCTCACCTCAATGCTGTTCCCCTGGCAGAAATGCTTTCTCTAAGTCAGCCCTCAGTCATCTGTCTGGGAAGAGAAGTCGTGTCAGAAAGACCCACTAGAGCAGGTCTGGAAGTGCCTCAGCGGAAAATTGTCTTTCAAGCCCAGACTGCCCTCCTTGGTCTTTTCTGCCTCTCCCCATTTTCCAGTACAAGTTTCAAAGCATGGCTATGCAGGAGAAGAAGGTTTTCTAGCATATGTCCTGATTAAAGTCTAGCTCCTTGAGATGTGCTTTTCCAACAGCCTTCAACAAAATGCATTTTATTTTTCCATAGAGGGAAAAATGCCCATTATTGGGGCAGAAGGGAGTATTGAAGGGACGAAGCAATCACCTCTATCTCTAGAGCTCCTGATATGTTGTACAAGGCTGAAGAAGAGCACTGTACTGTAATTTCCATAGAATAACGGGACCTAAGCATCAAAATTGTTACAACGACCCTTTAATTATACAGGGTTGGAAGGTTAAATATGATTCAGGGGCTGTGCACAGACGTGCTATTGGCTTAATTCCACAGCAGCCCACATTTAGAGCCTTTGTAATAATTTATTAAAGATAAAGGACAGAAAAAGAAGGACACCTTTAAGATACTCATCATTTAAACTAAGAGTCAAGCTTTTGAAATACTGCGTGTTCTGTTTTCTGCATCTGACAGTGTTCTAGACAGCATGAGAAAGGTATCTTCTCTCCTTTTGGGTTGAAAACATAAAAGCTGAAAAAGGATGGAGCTGCCAGCACTAAGAGATCTGCTGCATTTCTCTGAGACAAAGCAAGAGGAACATACAAAGGAGGTCAGAAAAATGCAACTTCTTCACTCCTACCTGTGGCCTCTGGGGCAGAGGTGATGTAAGACTCTGGCTGCAGTTTGCACTTGGTTGCCCTCCTGGGAACTGGTCCCCACGTTGGCTTTCTTTTAACCCAAATTTCTGCCTGAATTTTAATATATTTTTGAAACTATTTTTTCAAACTTAGAAAAGTTGATTGTTTTTGCAGATTTCTTTAAATAGCACCGCTAGCGGTGTGGACCAGGTCCAGTATTCCAGCTCATCCTTCAAAAGCATTTGCAAAATGAACTGTTTGGCTCCCTTATTGTCCGATGGCAAGGGATGTCCCTGGTGCATGGATGGCAGCATCAGCCGGTCACCAGCCACCCCGAGCAGTGCACGGGGCACCTCTGAGATGTGCTCATGTATCTTTTGTACCTCAGGGCATTCCTCTCCTGGACAGAAACTGGGGAGCATCAGTCTGTCCAGGGCACAAGCAGATGGCCATGGCCGTTCTCCAGGATGGTCCCTGGACCACAGACTCCAACGTGGGCTTGGGGCAGGTCTCCAGATAAACAACATTATTGCCTCCCCCTCGCTCCTTTTGCATGTGACAATCAAACAAGGACCCCAAAGCTTAGAAATAAACACCAGCACAGAAAGGGATGTTTACCATTCAATGTATTATTACCTTGTGTACAAAGTATTTTGCCTCTATAATAGCACACAGGTATTGAAATATGATGGCAAATGCGGAAAGACCATACAGACATGTCTTACAGGTCTTTTTATTTCCTTTTCAGTATAAGCAGAAAGAAAAGAAACACTGTACAGGAAAGTGCTTGCAAAAAAGCGCCCAGTTTGTAGAAAAATAATGGCATTGATACACAAAACCCAGAGTTGTTTCCTGAACAAGAAATGTCTAATGTCTCTGGTCCTCAAAGTCTGTTCCTATTTAATGAAGCCCATTAATGAACCACAGGATCAGTGCTCTATAATTTTTTCCCTTTTAGTTTACTTTATTTTTTTTTTTTTTTTAGGTTTCTCTTGCTCTGTTAATAGCTGCTATGAAACTATGTGGTAGAAATGAATGTGTACAGGTCAAAATAATATTTCTTTTTATAAATAGCCATTCACTTAATTAGAGAAAATATAATAAGCCTGTACTTTCTAAGCACCGCTGTTTCTTTCTAAAGTTCATAGTGCAATTTTCCCTTTTCCCCTACAGAAGTTATACATAAGCAATTATCATTAAAAAAAAAAATCACTATTCCATTACTACTCCTTTCCCTTTTTCCTCTTTCTCTTTCTCCCTTTGCCCCTTTCCCTTTCCCTTTTTCCCCTTTCCCTTTTCCCCTTTTCTTTCACCTTTGAAATGGTATTTTTGGCATTTTCCTCAGAAAGGTATAATTTATGATTGTTATGCACAGACATACAACGCAGGTGAAATATCAGTCCTTCTGAGATATGATCATACCTATTTATGTGCTATTAAGCAAAAAAAACCTCAGATTACGGGTTAGAGTCTCATTCTTCCCTCTAAATCTGAATATCAATAAGAACAGCAGAGGCACACACAAAATAAGTGTAGAGCACCAGTTCTCTAGCTTGTGCACTGTAACACAGCCCTGCTGGCCTGCAAGATGCCTCCCCACTGATGGGAACGGGTCGATCCCCAACTGTCAGGCTGACAGGTTTCACTCCGAACGCTGCACACAACCTGGCACAGGCATGGGTTATGAATCCAGGGGTCATTATTGATCATTTATCACTATTGATCCAACTGTTTTGGAAGAGACCTATTACACATCCTCTGGGGAGCTCTGCAAGAGACTCACACAAGATCCCGACGTTGGGTTTGGTAACTATTTGCATCCAAATTTGCAAGACTTCTCCAAAGAAGCAGAGAAGCCTCTTTGGTTTTCCAAACTGCTGGCAATTTTGTGCTGAAAAGCTTCCTTTCCTTGTACTTTGTGCTCCTGGCTGCCCCAACATATAAGGTGACGGGGCAGCATTTTCCTATCGCTAAGTAAAATTGTGGAGAAAGAGATAAGGGACATAGTCATAGACTACAAAAAATAATCTGGTCACATCACCCCCGTTGAACATGCTACGAAGCTCTGCAAAAACACGGCGTGCCACAAGCGGTGGGCTATGTACAGGCGGTAGCCATCGCACAGCCGCGGTTGGCGTGCCTATGGGAGATGCCTCCTCCATTTAAAATAAAATAAAAAAAAAAAAGCCAATGCTAAAGGTCTGGTTGTACACGGGATGGTGGATGAGCAAGGAGCGCAGATGCCTTACCAGGAAGATCTGAAGCAAGAAGTAGGCGTAAAGCAGCCTGTTTTTGAAGGGGGGGCAGAGTTATCTCTAAGTACAGAGTGATCTTGTTGAAACGAGGCAGAGCCGGTGCTGAAGCCTCCCTCTGCAGATGGTCTGTGAGTGAGTAGGAAGCAGAGGAACCGCTGCAGGTGCCTAAAATGGTGTCCCCCAGCCAAGAGGAAGGGGTGGCTTGGCAGAGAGCCCTGGCCCCCATCCCCTGCTGCAGACCCCCTGGTCCTCACCGGCCTCATGGGGAAGATAACACAGCGGGGATGCTTTCGGCATCACGCTAGGGTTTGGTGGCAATGTCCGTAAGAAACTGCATTGCTTCTCAGCACACAGCCCAGGGAAACATATGGCCTGATCAGCCTGTCTGGGATGAGTTAACACCCCGCTTCCAGATGGAGCCAGGAAGCACAGTGGCACATGCAATTAGGAGACAAATATATGTTTTTTTTTAAAAAAAGCGAGTTCACTTCAGAGCCCTATTAAAAAAAAAAAAGGGGGGCTCGAGCTGAAGATCCATCTGCAGGAATTTTCCTAAACCTGGGTTAGATCTTAATTTATTTGAATCACCTGACAGTTTTTTCTGCTTTCTTCCTTTTTTTTTCACTGATAAAGGCACTGGATTAACTAAAACTACAGAGCATTAATAAATATCATGTTAGCACCAAACCAATGCTTTTTAGCACTGGCCACAGAGGTCATGTGAAATTCAAAACATACCTAAAAGATAAAGATTGCTAATGCAACTAGCACTGTATTCATTGTCATGTTTTCCTTGAGTGCTGTCGGCCTAATCCCTAAAAATAAAATTTAAGCACATCTTCTCTATTTTCCTTACATAAAGACAGATTGAAATGCCAAAAATACCCCTAATGCAGATTGTGTAGCACCGTAGAGGGCCAAAGCAGCCCGTAACTGAAGGAAAATTACTGATTGAAAGTAAACAACTGAATACAGTGACAATAAAGTATCACTTGTCATAATGCTACATATAATGTAGAGTACGCAAAATGCAGTGGCTTGACTGCAGGATTTAACAATAAAAAATAAAAATAGTAAAAGCAGCCTTAATATAATGATTTTAACGTACAAAAATATTAAATCAAAATAAATAATTCAAACATAAATATTATACTGTACATTAAGAATATGCGATCTATATACACACATAAACAGATAAAAAAGTGGAAGGCAGAGGTATTGCATCGCTATCCTTCATCCGTCTCATCTCCGCTGGCTGCTCTCAGAGAACCTGGAAAATACAGACAAGGGACACGTTAGAGTCAGACCATCATCTTCACCTCTGAAACCTGTAACTAGGCAGATTGGCACAAGATAGGGGCCAAAGCAGGTGTCAGAGCTGGGAAGTGCGTTTCCAGTTGGGAGTGTTACTGGGGGAAGCAGGGACTGGGAACACTGGATCCCATCGCTCCCCAGATGCTGCCTGGGGTGGTGGCTGTCACCGATGCACTCAATGCACGAGTGCTTTTGCAAGCATAGCCTGATCTGCTCCTTCAGGACGTTTTTTGGGAAGATTTCCCTTCATGCAGAAGCAGCTGGGAACTCACCATCGCTATAACACCTGAACGTCGAGGCCTGTTCCAGATGATGGAGTACATTTCCCACAGTAACCGCCACATTTTCCTACTACTTTGGTACCATCCTGCAGGCAAAATCAGAAATGACATCTCATATAAGGGCTCAGGAACTCCATGCTGTGGTAGGGCCAGATTCAGGTTATTCTAGCCAGGGTTTCTAATAGAAAATGTCTTGGAAGGAAAACAAATTATGCCTAAATCAATCTATGAAATCACCCTTCTATTTAAACATATTTAAGTGCAATTCCCTTTAGTGCTGCCAGGTCAGATGGTGAACACAAATGAGAAAGAGTAGTTTTGATGTATTACATTGGGAGATGCCCAGGGAGAAGGCCATTTGGAGGGATATCTCAAGGGTATCTGCTTTCTCCAATTTGCCCCAGAGGTAATAACGGTAAAGAGTGGGAAACTTGGATCATGCAAGAGAAAAACCACATCTAGGCAACAACAGCACCTTCAGATATGAAGGGCACGGGAAGGATATTTGCAGGCAATACCGAGAAACATCCATTTGAAAGGGAAAGGCCTGGGGCAGCTCCAGAGCCAAGATGGGAGGGCAAGCGATGGGGTGAGGCTATGTCACTTGCTGAGGTGCTGCTCCCCCTCAGCTCTGCACGTCCACAGCCAGAAGAGACAACGGAAGACACGCAGTGGTCCTGGGGTTGGCCTGGTCTCCAGGAGAGCCCGGCAAGCATGGTGCAACTCTGGTCTTGAGCCAGGAGATTAACACCTCCTTCTAGTGGGAGGTGTCCCTGCCCAGGGCAGGGGGTTGCAACTAGATGATCTTTCAGGTCCTTTCCAACCCAAACAGTTCTGTGACTGTGATCTGGCCTTCCTTATCCCACCTCTGCAGAGTTTCGCCTCTTGGTCATTACAATGGACAGACAGTCCTTGAGGGGAATTCAACCCTCAATTACCAAAGAATTGGACTTAAGTGCAGGAGAAGCTTGCACAAAGCATTTATTTTTAAACGAGCTCCATCCTGCCCTTGACATCATTGATCTGTGATTGCAGCAGGCTGCTATCATCTCTTCTCACTATGCCTGCCTTTCTTCTGCTCCTGTGGGCAATTACACCCCTGGAACAGTGCTTGACAGATGCCACCGGGTGATGGAGGTAAGGGATCTTAGATCCCCTGTCCTTTAAAGTTTGTTGCAGTTCTGCCAGCCGTGATGGTGTCTGCTCTCTGCAACCCTGAAGTTGTCTGTACGGGCTTCTCCTTTCAGAAGGGGAGAATAGTGAAGCACCTGCTAGAACTAACATATGGGTCTGTGCTTGTCCTCTTCTCCCTGTACTGGAGGATGCTTTGCTGCAGCATGGTTGGACCAGTAGCATTTAATTCTGCTTTAAGAGCCCCAGCACCGACAATGCTCAAGGGCTTGAGGGGCTCGCCAGAGCCAGGAGACTGAAAGTGTACAGGAGAGGATATTTTACAAACTGCTTTTTGTTAAAGGATTACGCTGACCTCCTTAGGAGAGTTTTGACAGGGCAATCAGGATAACCCACGTAAAGCAACAGGCAAAAAAGTGATCTGGGGTTTCTCCATTTCAGAACATGACACAGGAGCAAAAGTGTGAAGGCACACGATGATGGAGGTGTTAACAGGCAGGAAAATTAAGCTGCACAAGTTCAAATTTGGCAGCTGCAGGGGACGGTGCCCCAGGGCGCAGTGCTGGGCAGCCCCAGCCCACCGGAGCTTGGGGGACTCTGGTCTCTCCCAAAGAGACAAACCCAGACAAGCAGGAAGGTCCATGTCCTCCACACTTTATTAGCAATGTTTTGGGAACAATTCCTACTCAGGGCACTTGCCTGGCACCCAGACCCTCTCCAGCAGGTCAAGCCCTGCTCTGCAGCCCTGACCCCCTGCCCTGTGATGCCAACTCCATGCCGGACAACTCAGACAACTAATTAAGGATTTGCCTGTCCCCCAGCACTCTGTGTTTTCAGCCTCACGGTTAAGCAGGCGCATTAATTAATTGCAATAAATCAAGTTAAACCCACTAGGGCCCCCCCGCCTCACAGTTACAGACAACACTTAATTTCTGATGTCAGATTTTCTTTAGTCTCTACTTGGAAGATGTTGCCATGAAAGACAACAATTAGAAACTTCCCATGAGCAGGTATAACCATAATTAAAATTATGAGCAAGTATAACCCTAATTAAAATTAGAACTTACTGGGGATTTTTGAATTTCCGACACTGCGTAATTCCCTTGCGAGAGCCACTTTGCCGTTCCTGTTAAGGACAGCCCTGTCCCATAGAGGTCTATGCTGAAGCGACCCTAAAAAACAAGCAGACAAGCCTGGTTAACCCAAAATGCCGTGCTTTTGCCACAGGGTCACTTTTCTACTAGGATCTTGCTGGCAATGCTTCTGATTTTTTCCATCACTCTCATCGTGATTAGCACATCTTGTACAAATCACAGCATGTCTCGGGTTGGGAATTGCCTTCTCGTTGGTGGCTGCAGGGAAGGAGGGGCTTTATCTTGGTTTTTCACTGCTTTTTTTTCCCGGGTTTGCAGTGCTTTTTCGAGGTTTGCCGGCTGAGGGCATTCTTGGCTTGTCCATGGCAAACTTCGGAGCCTGACTGCTCTAGCAGCCGATGGGAAAGGCAGCTCAGGGATGTGCTGCAGCTGGTCCTGCTGCTCCCTCCTCAACTGGAGAGGGCACACTTGTCCTTATTTTCCTTATTTTCCACTGGGCTTTTTTCTTTTTTTTTTAATTTCTTTTTTTTTTTCTTTTTTCCCCCCAGACTTCAGTAAAATCAAAAGTCTTTCATTTGTTTATTTCTTAAAAATGTCCTTCACTTCATTCCACCCTGTCTCAAAATGCACAAAACATGTGGAAAATTAAGGGCTATGTCTGCATCCAGCACAGAACCCCCCAGCCTTCCCCTTACCCCCACGGCAGAGCCCAACCCTGCCTCTTTCCGGACCCAAGAAGGGATTCTATGGCCACATCCCCCCCACTGACCCCCAGCCCAGCACAGCTGTGCAGTACCAGATGGCTGTTAGCTTTGCTCCTTGCACTTGCTGCCTTGGGAATGTTGATTTTCTGCAAGGAGGAAACTGGATGAGGTGGATGGATGTTAACATTCATAAGCCTTCCCAAGGTAAGAAGTCAACCCCTAAGCCGCTGAGCTGTGGAGAAAAGTGTCAGCTCCAAAAGAAGGGAGGAAAGGAGATGGAGAGATTTGCCCTCTGCCATCTGTTGCTGCGACTCCCTACTTAATGCTCTTTGCAAATATGGTCTACCCTATACCTTGGACCATAACATACCACTTGCTGTCCCCCAGCTCCACAAAAACTAGGTGTGCTGGGGACATGGAGCATGCCACCTGTAGCACAGCATTAATTAGTATCCTGAAGACTTTAAAGAAAGCATATTTCTTCCAAGCACCTGGGCTAGACATCCTGCATCGCCTCCCGAAGCTACAGAAGATGTGACTTACTCTGTGCTCAGCTCTGTGCTTTCATGGCCAGGAGCCTCACAGTGCTGGGATAGGCTGGATTTGCCCTGATGTGCTGGCATTGCCTTTGTTTTGTCAGTGTTTTTCCAGCCCCAGTGTGGAGTGAGCAGTTGTCTCACTGGGCTGCTGGGAAAAGCAGCAGGGCATGGGGACGGCAGGACAGTGGCTGGAGGGTACCATCCTTCTGACTGATGGACTCTGTTGGCCTAGCAGCAGAAACCCAACCTGTTCTTGCCCTGCAAGAGCCCTCTCCTTCTCAGGCATCAGGTCGGTACTGGGACCAGTGTTGTTCAACATCTTTGTTGGTGACATGGACAGTGGGATTGAGCATCAGCAAGTTTGCCAATGACACCAAGCTGTGTGGTGACACGCAGGAGGGAAGGGATGCCATCCAGAAGGACTTGGACAAGCTGGAGAGGTGTCCCTGTGCAAACCTCATGAAGTTCAACAAGGCCCAGTGCAAGGTCCTGCAGCTGGGTTGGGGCAATCCCAAGCACAAATACAGGCTGGGAGGAGAATGGCTTGAGAGCAGCCCCGCAGAGAAGGACTTGGGGGTGTCAATTGATGAGAAGCTCAACATGAGCCAGCAATGTGCACTTGCAGCCCAGAAAGCGAACTGTGTCGTGGACACCATCCCTGGAGATGCTCAAGGCCAGGCTGGATGAGGCTTTGAGCAACCTGGGCTAGTGGGAGGTGTCCCTGCCCATGGCAAGGGGTTAGACCCAGATGATCTTTAAGGTCCCTTCCAACCCAAACCATTCTGTGACTGTATCTCCCCCTGAGCTGGCTGGGCAGGAATCCTGCCGTCCGCTGCCTTCTCCATCCAGGCAGGTTCTCACAGATCTTCCTGCACCCCTGCAAACAGCAGTTTCTGCAGATAGGAGGCTGCAGAATGCAGAGGCAGGGTCCCAGGGCACCCCAAGGGCCTGCTTCACTGCTGGTCTCCCTGCCCAGCATTTCCACCAAGCCCTGCCACGGACCAATCCCCCTACCTTCAACTGCACATGCAAAGCCCAGCCCTTCTCCCACAGCTTATTTCTTCTTCCTTTTCTCCTTTACTGTCAACTGTCCGAGGCCCTGGGGAATGTCCCTTAGTTCCGATGCTGGTCTGCTAATAACTTGACATTTTCCCGTATGAAAAATGGAGAGTGCTTTCTGCATGGACAAAGCTTCTGACCACTGAGATGAGAATGTGACACTCATCAGTGATGGGTTAATGTGATCAGCAGTAATTAATAGAGGGCCTGGACAAAACAAATGACACCAATTCCTATGAAATGCTATTGTCAAATACCTGCGGGCATTTGGCTGCGCTGTAGCAGTCCCCAGCAGTGGCATAAGGAACAGGTCGCCCATCATGTGTCCGTGCAAACTGTAAATCGGTGGCTGTGGAGAACAGTTGGTGAAAAACACAGAGAGAAAGATGTAGGGAGAGAGACAATATAATGTAAACATGCTCTTCACTTCTGTTTAAATTCACTAAAGCTGGTTTCATACATTAATGTTGAAAGTCAAGACTGCTGGCTTTTTAATATTAAATCCTCCAATTCATCCCCCATGTGGCTCCCAGCACGTGAGCACTGAATTTAACAGGACACTTACACGCTCAGCGTTTACAGCTCAGTTTAAGTGCATTGCTGATTTAGGGCCTAGGTATAAATAACAACAAAACTCAAACCCATGGACTTGGGTTTTATTTCTCTACCAGAAAATTCCCCACTTTCAAGAAGGCCATGGGAGCTCCTAAATCTCCCTTTTAAACAAAGGCAAACAACCATCTCTGTGCTCTCCTGGCTGCCCCAGCCCAGGGGTCGGGGTTTCAAAGGGAATTGGGGTATTTTGCTCTGGAGGGATCTGAAGTAACAATTTAGATGGGGATGTGAGATAGCTCCTGCCTGACAGAGGCAGGTGCCCAGTTCCTTTTGAAATTCAAAGGGAGCTGGTATCAAATTCCCCGAGGGTGGTTCCTTTGAGATCTTTACCTAGGAGCTTTTACAGACTATTAGTAGCTTTTTACAGATTGATAGACTGGGAGGTCTCATGGCTTGAAAATTAAACGATAAGAAAACCCCATCAGATGAAGAGTCATTTTACAAGGAAGGATTTTGATTTGCTAAAAAAATCTCCCTGTCTACTGAATGAACTCCCCAACAATATGTTGTATTTGTAAAACATTTGCTGGAAACGGATAGCATCCCTGGAGTCAAGGGGACTGAAACCATAACCCCATGGGATGGTGAGGGCTCTCTCCAGCAGCTCCCACACATGCTGGCAGGAGTGACAGGGTGCCACTTCTATTGCACAGCCACAGCCCCCTCCTCTTCCCCTGCCAATCCATGGGGCCCTGGCTCCATCACTCTCAACACAAGTTATCTCCCCATGGTCTGACCCTGCAGAGGGTCCTCTGCCTCCCCACCGCACCGACGCTGGCACAGCAGCTTTCCGACCCCAGCAGAGTCCCTGCTGACACGTCTGCATGTAACATGTGGGGCCAGCTCCTCCCTGGTTAGGCTTTCTGCCTGAGTCCAGTCTGAATGTAGGGAACCAAATGAAATAAAATCCTTCAAAACATACACTGGCCTGCCAGGAGCACAAAAGTATTCATTCTGTATAGCAGATGCACCAGTGACTGTCTTAATATTTTCCCATATTACAGAGAAATAGTATGAGCATCTCTGATGTACTCGGGTTGCAGTCTCTACATGTAAAGCAGCAAGCAGGTGACCAAGTTTAAAAGCAGCTTTTAAGAGGAGAGCTCATGAATATTGCTCACTAGAGCACTACTGCTTGTTTGTAGTTACAGCTAGATTTGTGCAAAATAAACATTTTTTTTTTCGATGGCAAGGCCCTGTTTTTACTCACTTATTATTTGCATAGTGTTCAGGTCCAGCCTTACTTTGCTGAAGGTGGAAAACCCAGCTGCTGTGTAATCTTTCCTACACTGGCAGTCTTCTCGTCTGCTCCCGTTATATGGACATTCAGTCGGGTTATGCAACCTAAATCAAAAGAAAACCCTTTCTACTCGTGACCGGAAAATATTGCTGTGGAAAACAAAAATATTGCGAAGCTCAGAATTAAGGGATTTCTTACCTGTATCCATACACTTCTGAAAAATTCTCTTCATCCCCATTTACAAGGGTCACATACTCCTTTGGGCTGTCAGTTTGCATCCCAGAGCAATACACCTGAGAGAGAGAAGCCAGAATTTTGTCAGGTATCATGTGCAAAGGGCTGGCTGAGGAAACTGAAGGCAGAAAATCTAAGAGTGGAAATGAAGAGCACACGCAGGGTCCCCTTCACCGTTGGGAAATGCATTAACTATAAATCTGTTGCTGAAATGCACCTTTAACATCTTTCCTTTGACTTGAAGGAAATATTCGCCATCTTCTGTGACACCTTTGAGATTTTTAACGTCTTTGCAACTCCTCGGTAATTCACCTGAAACAAAACAGAAATACTGGTAGTCACTGAGCAACTGTACACCAAAATTTCTTCTGTAACACTGTGAGGCATACAAAGCACCAAAACCAGTTGTTTATTTTTAAGAGGTCTCCCTGAAGTGTCTTAATGCTTAGTTGGATGGCTCCCAATGCTTGGAAATACTGCACATCTCTAGGAGCCTGATGGGAACATATGCTCAAGCCATGGGAAAGGCAAAGGAAGGTGCAAATCTGCAGACTTACAGTCATGGACATTGTGGCATGTCCTCCTCTCTTCGGGTTTCAGATCTGCATGGCACAAGCTGCTGAGCTGGTCTTCGTTCGTCAAACACTGCACCGAGCGGTGCATGACTCCAACTCCGCAGGTGACGGAGCACTACAAGGCAGGAGACAGAGACTCATCTTTTATCTCAAGGGTTTCTGGGCTCCAGAGGACCAGTGACCAAGAAACAGCAGCAAAGGCCCTAATCCAGCAAAGTGTTCAAGCACAGGCTTAATTTTAATCCAACAAGTAATCCCTTTTATTATTAATCCCCTCATTATTATCACCATCACTAATTATTTCAAGAAGTCTATTGAACTTCGCTTAGCACTTAAACACTTGATGGGATGAGGCAGTATTGGTTAATGTGAACCATGTGCTCACGTGAAATTTACTTTTCACACTAGGAAGGACATACAAGAGGGAAATGTTCACCAGAAGACCTGAACGGTAGAAATCCTCTCCTGGTGGCTCGGAGACAGTGCTTGAGACTGACAGGAGCCTCTGAACAAACATGACATGGGCTGTTGTTTTCTATCCAAATTGCACCAAAAAAACCCCCACAGCCTCCAAGACTTCTTTCCCCTCACCCTCTGGAAAAATGCCTAAATCTGCACAAACATTGGGTCATCCTCAAACCGCACAAATGAAGGGCAATCTTAAGGCTGAAATTGCACAAGCTGCTGGAGCTACTGAGCAGCAGCTCGTCCAGGCTGGTTGCTGCTGAGCGCAGGAGATGGGAGGTGAGAGCACCTTGCTCCCCCTCCACAACTTGTTCTTTCAATACTTGAGAACTGAAAATCTGGCTTTCTACAGATATCAGGTTAGGCTGCCAAGAAAATGATGCTGCTCATCTATTTAGAAAGTATTAGTCTAAAGGAACACACCATGAAAGAGATGGTCTTCAACGGCTCATGGTATTTGCAGCTTGGCATTTACTATTTATCAGATCAAAATCCAGAAAACTTAACTAAGGAGCTGAGCAGGACACTCTTTGTCCATCAAAGGTGATGGTATTTTACATTAAATCCCTTTGAAAACCAGAGATGAGAAGGGTCATGGCACTTGGTAGTCACTGGGATGTTCAGCAGCCCAAAGCAAGGAGAAAGGTCTTGCTCTTTGAAACGGATACTCTTCGCAACGAGGTTGTATTCATGAGTTGGACATTTCGCACTGAAATTCTGGGGGAAAACACCAATTAATGGAGGCAGATCTCTTCACTGTAACTCCTTTGCCCTCACTTGCAGGGAGGATCTGAGGCTTCCTATGGGGCAGGAGGAACTTAGGTTTCAAACAGCTCTGCCATTTACTGTGACAACTTCCACTACATTTTGCTTGACTTGACCCTTGTTGCCTTGTAAAGGTTTGACAAATTCCTACAAATGCCTGATCTGGGTTAATAAATCAAATTTATGGGAGAAACATCACATTTCAAAGAATGTCAGAAGCCCAAAGAAGTGAAATGTTACCACCTTAACTAAAATTTTGTCTTGTAGTTCAGGCCTCATAAGAAGTTTGACACAAATAACCAACAGAAAGGTGAAATTCTTTCCCCTGCCCTGTCCCAGTATTTGTAAGGAGGGGGATAAAAAAACAAAAACAAAAACAAAAAAAAAAACAAAGAAAGAAAAATCTTTTTAAGGCTCAGATTACCAGTGTTTTGGCCTATTGGTGGTTTCCAAGTCTTGCTCACACACATGGGCAAGCAGGATCAACCCCAGCTGCCAGCTAATCCATCGCTACCTCTGCCCTAGCATGAGGCTTTAAAAACCCTTGTTTTCTGGCAGTGGCCTCATTTTCTGAGTAAGCATTCAGCATGACCCTCAACACTGACACATATTTTGCCTACAATTGAAATTTCATGGAGATCATGACCCCACTCATGGCTGCTGGGACTCCCCCACATGATGGGTTTCAGTCTGGAGCAGGAGCCCTATATACACTGGTGTGGCTGCTGCACAAGGGTATTAATTGCATTAATTTATGTAGCTCTTAAACATTTCCCTGCCAAACCTTAGGACTGCATCCTCTGTAAGAAAAAAAAAGTTTGTCTTAATTTGTTGGGTTAAAAAAAAGAAGTTTGCCACACTTACGCTTCCCCAGTTGCCAACGCGCCAGGATGCCGAGACGGGGCACTCCCCAAGGTAGCAGGGCTGAATGTTGGGCGGCTGTGTGCCAGGACAGTTGACCGTGTTCTGGTACCCGTACTCGTAGTGGTCCTTCCCGGTGTAAATCTCACTGCAGGACACCAGGCGCTGCTTGTATCCCTTCCCACACGTCACAGAGCACTGTGGGCAGAGGAAGGGCCTGTTAGCACCGCACGCTTTGGGAAGACTGCCTGAAACGGGGAGGAAAAGCAGGCTTGCCACCTTGGAACACAGCAAGCTGCTCCGAGGGATCACTAGTAACTATTTAAGCCATCCATGAGTATTGTGAGCGGCTACAAGTGGACGGCCACCCAACACTGCCTTTGAGCACCCAATTCCTCCCTGTGCAGCCCCTACAGCTGCTCCAGGACCCCCTACTCCAGGCTGGCTCCCGGGCACAAGTTATCCCTCCCCAAGAGCAAAGAAAGAAGCAGAAGAACCTTGGGAACACAGAAATGTCTCTATTATTTGAGTTTTCTTTTTTTCCCTTTTTTTTCTTTTTTGCCATGGGATGCACAGAGAAAGAAAACACTCAAGGCTGACCCTGAATTACAGGTACTTGGCAGCAACTGGAAGAAAGGGAAAGTTTTCCTTGTAATTAGAGGACAAACAGTGCTTCTGCCTTCACAAGGCTGAGCAGGAGCTGGGCAAGCCCACCTCCTCATGTTCATGGGCCTGAGTGTTCCTGGGGATTCACAGGCAATGGCAGCAGGTTGAGGGTGTCTGGGCAAGGGGCACCCTGATATTTCTCTTAGGAAACTACCCAGGCGACCAGGCTGCTCTGAGAAATTCTCATCTCTCCACATTTCTCCATCCTGTGCTATCTTGGTTGGCTGATCTCTCCTCCCCCTCAATCCTGGCATGTTTTCTTTTTTCCCTTTTCTTGTTCTCTCTTTTTAATCAGTGCTGTGTCAGCAGCTGCCTCGTCATTTCCCTCCGCTGTTCCTCCAAGTGGAAACTAATCCTTCACTCGCTGCAGAAGGAAGCAGCCTGAGATTAGCCCTGGTCCTCCTGCATGCAGCGCCTGCCGCAAAGAAAACTCATCTATTTTCCTTGCCAAACCCTCTCCCAGCCGCAAGGATCTGCTGCCTTCGCTCACGCCAGGTCCTTGCTCCTGCCAAAGATGGCACCGAGGAAGGACATGTCCCCACGGTCACATCCAGGCTCGTCTTTCCCCCAGGATGCTCACCCAGATCCCTGCACAGCTCACTGGGCCCTGGAGCTCCCCAGGAGGGGATGGGAAGAAAAGCAATCAAATAAATAAATAAAATAAAGTGGCACAAAACCAAAGAGGGCGTCTGCTGGATGCGATGTGCTTAGGAAGAAAATTGCCTCTAGATATTAGCTAGGACTCTGAGCATGCGTTTACTCTTTAATATCCTGGTTTTCTCCCCCAGCCCTGCTCCTTTCTCTCCAGCAGGGAAATTGCACACAGAAACAAACCAAAAAAATAATAATTAAAGCACACGCAGCACTGCCCTGCCACTGTTGATTTGGGTTGCAATATCTCAGCGAGGCCGGTGGCGAGAGGAGAGTGTCGCCCGGTGCCGGGTGGCATGGTCCCTGCACGGGGATGAGGATGAGGATGGGGACTCACCTCCGACCACTCCCCAGTGATCCAGATGTACTCGCAGGGCGGCAGCCCACAGCTCTCGATTTCGGGGGGGCGTTTGCTGGCGTCGCAGTAGCCGCTGTTCTGCACCCGCTTGTTCTCATCCACGCAGACCACCTTGCGGTACCGGGATGCCTCCCCGCACGTCTTCATGCACTGTTTGCAAGAAACAAGGGCTCATGAAACTCATGAGGGGCTTCAATAATTGCTCCACATCTGGAGTGAGCGCTCCTCCCAGCAGCCCGGGTGAGCAGATGGCTCTGTGCCCCATGTCGGCAACTCTCATTGGGATCATCTCGGGGTAAATCTGAGACCAGGGCCCTGTGGTGCCAGGTGCTGTGGGACCACCCAGTGACAAACTGCTCCTGTCCTCTGGAGGTGCTAACCCAAATCGCAGGCGTAGGGAGAGAGGAGAAACCGAGGTAGCAGGGATTGGGATGCGGCAGATGTGGGGTCCAGCTGTGAAGGGACCAAGAGATGCAGGGGTGGGGAAGCTGGGTCAGGAGATGGGGCAAGGGGAAAAGAAAGGGGCCAACCCCCATAATTTCAGCCTGTAGTAAATACAGCTGCTTGGACAACAACAACCTGGCCATGTCCCTTCCAAAATACACACCATGGCACCCTTGGCTGTGGGTGGTTCAGGAGGAGCCCCTTCCTGGTCCCTGCCAGCGGTGTCCTGCCTGGGGACACATCTGGGCAACTGCTGCAGTGGAGGGGACCCTGCGGTTTTATTATCTTTTAAACATTGTCCTGCCTGATATCAAGATTAACCTCTGCTAGCCATGCACAACTTCTCCCCATGTGCTTCTTCTTTAAGGACTCAGTTCTTTCTCTGCTTTGTCTTGGAAAAACCAGCCCGGCTGCGAGGCTGTGCTCCTGGGAGTGGGGCTGTGCTCACAGCGCATCTTACAGAACACACACATAAAACAAAATAAATCAGTGTAAGAGCAGCTGTCTAGATAAACCCTTGTTTTCTTAAAGTTATCGCCTGTAACGGACTTCTAACACTTTTAACTAACTGGATTAACGAGGAGAAAAATGCATGAAAATAATCATTTTATATAATGTGCAGGAAATGTCTTCCCCTAAGGAAAAGGATAAAACATTCAATCAGACCATTCCTATCTGTACAGAAACACTGTTTGAAGTCACCTAGGCTCAGAGGACTGTGCCAGTTTAATCTAGTTAGACTTTCACCCTCCAAACATCATTTCCAGCCTCCTCAAAGCAGCTCCTGCTCTCCTGGCTGGCCCACAATTAGCAAGATCTTAGGGGGTTCACCTAATTGCGAAGCACAGGCATTGTCAGGCCCCTGTGCCTGTAATTAGCTGTCAGAACCAAGATTGCAGATTATGGGAGAACTTTGAAATATCAGATCAATCCATGGCAGGAACATCAAATTAGGAGAGCCGCGGCAAGCACATCATCATGTTGGTTGTAAATATTCAGTAACTGTGCAAAGTGGGGGGGGACGGGGAAGGAGAGGCAGCCCCACAAAGGAGCACTTATTCCGAAGGAATAACTTAGGAGCTCTTAGGCAACAGTCAACATTGCAAAATCTGCAGTCTGCTAAAAGACCTCAAGGGCTTCATGTGCTTTTCAACCTTATTTAGTCTCTTGCTTTAAGTCCTTGGAGTGGAAGCTCCTTCTATGTCTGTGCTGAAACACAGCAATCCTACGGGGACTGGAGGAATTTGCTGGAGTACGATTTCCCCGGAGAGCAAACAAACTGTGCTCTATTTGCCCTTCTGTGATACCTCTCTATTACATAAGTAAAAATCTGAAAGGGGGTTATTGCATGTGAATATGGCATCACGAGAGCTCCACCGTCATGTGGCTTCCCTGAGCATGCCGCGTGAACCCCAACCTCCCTGCTCCTTCCCAACGAGGGACTCCCAGCACAGTGGGAGCAGGGTTATGGGATACTCAGAGCTCCCATTGTCTCTGGTTTGGCGCACACCAGCCCAGCACATGGTCACCAGCGTACAGTGAATTGTTCCAGCTCACAGCCAAATGCGCCAGCTTGCAAGGAGCGTGAAGAAACAAGACAGATTTCATCGCCTCCCCTTAACGTGTATTTAAGGCTAAATTTGCAAAGTATATTGGCTCATACTTAATTTTAGGAGAGTGAGTAATCTCCATGCCATCAATGGGTCTTCTGACATTGGCCATGCAGAGCTATCATATCAAAAGCCCATCCTCATTTAAAATCAGTAGTTGCTGATGAGGGACTAACACTCTCAAACACGCGCCAGCCTGCTTTGGGTTTCTCTGCAAATAATGATTGTATGGCCAAATAAACCTGAGCCAGCTCTGCGCGTTTTGTCATTGTCAGTAAATTAAAGTTTGATTATTTGTATTTTTTGGGATAACTGGCAATTAAAATAATCCCACTGAGATATTAAATATGGCTCAAAGACAGTGAGACCATCATAAAACAAATCAAAGAGAAGCACTGGAGAGGTTCCAATCAGTCACCCCAAGGTTATAAAACATTATTCACATAGAAAGCGAACAGTTCAGCTAGCATGAAAGACTATTTTTCCTTTTAATATGGTGATAGATTTTGTATGAAATCTCATGTTCATGATGGATCTAAATCTCACATAAAGCAGCAGGGCCAGGGGATAACGGCCATTAATAGCAAGAGCTGAAAAAGAGGTCAGGCATTTGACAATATTTGTCTCTTTTGCCTCATTTCCCAAATTTTGAACTATTTTCCTGGCAGTTCAAATTAAGGACCATTTCAAGCACTTCTGCAACTGTTTTAGAAGAGTAATAATAACAATTAAAAAAACCCCAAAGGCATTGCTTTGCGAAAGCATTCATTGTTTTCTTTTTTTTTCCAAAGCAAAATCTGACACAGAGATGAAACGAAACCCCATGCCATGAACACTTCAAACATGCCTTGGGTAACTCTGCAATCCAAATCAGGCAAGGATGGCACAATTTCCCCCAAATGGCAAATGTCAAAGATTCAAGAACTGCATTGCAGCTTCCAGAGCCGTGCATTGTCCTTCCACAGAGGTTCATGTTAAAAAAAACCCTCTTCTCTCTCCCAGTTTTCCCTCTTTCTCTGTGACCCTGGTCTGGGTTTTATTTTGACACTAGCAAGCCCTTTCTATTGACTTTCTTCTCCCTGGCGTGGGCAATGAGAACAGCTAATTAATGGTGATACACCGACGGCGCAATAAACAGTTTCTAATAAGTTCCCTATTCCTTTCCATTGGCAAGACCAACTTTTTTCCAAACAACAACAACCAAAAGGAAAAATAAAAAACCCCTCTCGACAGATTCCCTTTAAAGATAAGAAATCAAGAACAAGACAGCGCTGGGATGTTATTTTACATCCTGCCTTTCACGTCAATTAGGGTCCACTGCTGTTCCCTGTGCAGAGAATACTAACGCAATCTGTGTCTCCTCACCATAAATAACATGTGGCCAGTACTTATGGCCAGGGAGAAGGTGCTATTACTTTTTTTCACCAGGTACATCAGAACAACATAGTAAGTCCTCAGTAGAAGAACTGCTTGGAGTCAGCCAAAGGGGCAAGCTCACATTGGGCACCTCCTGCATGTTTCTGTTAATGGTTATTTATGGGCGAGGAAGCTTCCAGACCACCCCCTTAGCAAAGCTCCCCTGGGGAAAAAAATAAATCTCCATGACGTTAAAAATTTCCACAGTGTAATGGGAACCCCGGAAAACTTAGGAAAATATCAGCATCCACCTCCTACCAAGGGCTTGGCAGGGTTGGGGCAGGCAAAGGCTGGTTTGGAAAGTTGCAAAAATAAGGGAACGAGGGCGAAAGGATGGGGTAGGAGCCGTGGCTTTTCAGGGCTAATTACACCATTGGGTAAGGACTGAAACTGCATGCTGTTTGGTGACCTACTTTGCTGCCTTTAAATTTATTAGCTGAAGAAATTTAACAGGCTCTGTAAAAGCAAAAGTTCATTGCAAGGCATTTGCTGGAACCCCCGCAGCCATTCCCATGTTTCTGTTCCAGGCTGGGATGGTTCTGTTGGGTACCACTGGTGGTCAGCTCGGCTTTGCCTCCGGCTGCATCCCCCTGCCCCACGGTTGCCAGGCAGGATGGTATGGGGCATGGTGCCCTCCGACCTCTTGTAGCCATGGTTATGTTACATAGGATTATCAACCCATTACAACTTCCCAGTGCTGCTGAGACTGAGGAAATGAAGCTAAACTTGTTTGTATTGTCCCTGTCAGGCTGAGGTACCATGGCCAGAGGGATGCTAGATAATGTTACCCCAGTCTGGGGTGCTCCGTGCAGGGATGAGCCAAGGCTGAGCTCGCGGGGAAGGAAAGATGAGAAGAAAGCACGCACTGCCTTTACCTGGAATTTTTTCTTGCTGCAACGAAAAAGTTTTGCAGCCTCTGCATGCTTGAGAGGATGCTTCTCCCATCAGTAAACTTGCTTTTCCTATACTCCCCCCTTTTTTTTTTTTTCTTTTTTTTTTTTTTTTTTTTAGTGACACAATAAAGGCAGGCTCTGGAAGTGTCTGCGGACACCAAGGCTTTGAGCAGGAGAGGCAATGCCTCTCCATCTTTTGTTACTGGAGCAGGAGGCCCTCTTTGCATTCAGACCATGGCCTCTCTACACTGTCTCAGCAGGGGAAGGGACCCCAACCAATTTCATCCCCTTTCAAGACCTCCCTGGGCCATGCAGGAGCAAGATAACAGCAGCCCGATTGCCAGTGAAAGCCAGGCCCCCGTTTGATTAATATGTCTCCTGCTCCCCGGAGTTGTGTGCTGCAGGCATCAGGGTAGCCGGGATCAGACTCTGATCACACACCTCCAAATTCAGTGATTTGCACTAAAGGGTGCAGGATCAAGCCCCTGCCGCCCTGCCACTGGGGCCAGCAATGGTTTTGCAAGGAGGCTGATGTATCCAGTGTGGGGGGTCTTTGCCCCTCTCCATCCCCTGCATCCCCATGGAGGGCCCATGATAGGCAATCTCCTACTCCCTACGTGACAAGGACATCCTCGCCATAGGAGCGGTGGCTGCTTCTGCAGGCTGTGTGACACAGGAGTCAGCTCCCAGCGCTGGCTGGCAGCTCCATCACCTTTCCCATTTCCAAGGCTGGCAGTCCCTGCCCGGTGTGCAGGAGTCTGGGCCAGGGGGACAGGGATGGAGGAGAACTGGAGCAGGACTCTTTCACCCAGGCATGGCCAAAACCAGAACAAAACCAGGACAAAACCAGTGATTTTGGTAACTGGTCTGAGCTCTCTCTACCATAACATGTAAAGCTTGCCACAGAACCCTGCAGGCAGCTGACAGGAGGGCTCCTCCTGCCCAGAGTCCCCTTGTCCTCCTGCCACCCACCAGCCTGGGGGTCACCCATCGCCCACACTGCAGGCGAGTGGGAGTCACTCCCTGAACCACCGGAGCAGCAGTTTTATCCCTGGCTCCAGCCTAAGGGGCTGGTTTTGCTGGGGACTGAACCTGGTCACTCAGAAAAGCACCATCTCCCCTGGCAGACCTCATCTCAGCACTGCTTGAGAAAAAAGCACGGATGGGGAGCTCAGTGAGAGACCTCTCGGAAGGATCCGGAGTAACTGGGCAGGAAAGTGGGAATTACCAATGTTCCCCAGTTCCTTCAGACCCACAGGCACAGACGGGGCTCACCGCTGGAGCAGCACGGCAGAGCTCAGCCTCCGGGAACAGACCCAACTGCGCCCTGCCCAAAACCTGCTCAATATTTGCATAGGTCCCAGCCAAACACAGGGCAGTGCAAAGCAATAAATGAACCCTGCGGAGGTATTTCTCAGCTCCCCCTTCCAGCCAGCATGCATCAGTGTTTCCTCTGATTTTTTTTGGTTTTTTGCAAGCCCAGGTTGCAACCCTCGGTGGAAACCCTCCGGCAGCTATCCCCGGCCTCGGCAGCCCCTGTCTCATCTCCAGCATCATCCTGCACTGCACGGCCGAGAGCACAAGTGACGTGACCTCGGGGGAGGGTGCAGGGGGGGACCCGCTTACCGCTTGCCATTCACCGGCTGCCCAGTGGTGCGTGGGACACTCGGGGAGGTGACAGTCCCGCTGCGGCGGGGGCCGGCTGG